CGCAAAATCTATACCTCAAGACCATCGTGTATTATTTGTGAAGTTGATACGGAATATTTATCAACATGTTCTTGGTACCTTCCGATGAAATTTTTAAGAAAAAGGACGAGACGTTCTTTGACATACCCCTGGTTCATCAACTTTCTGCTCAGACACTGGTGACGTTTTATAAAGTCTGAGTAGGAGCTGCAAGCTCTTGAAAACATATGCAGGTGAAGTTGGTATATTGCTACTAAGGTGGGGGAAATTGATAATTTCAAAATTAAAATCGTCTCGTTTGTCATAGATTCTGGTACTGAGATGACTGTGTATGGCATATGGTGCAATGGTAGAAGGTGTATGGTGTGAATGAATGGTGTACGACATTTAAAACTATGCAAAATATTGATAAGAACTGATTGTTAATTTTAAACATTAATTTACAATATTGTGGTCAAAATTCGTTTTTTAAAATGATTTTTAGTCGCACACTTTCTTTGAAATTAAATTGCATTATGGTGTAATGTGTCAGGTGTATGGTGCAACGGTGCAACGTGTATGGTGTAATGGCACAGGGTGTATGGTGTATGGTGAATGATGTAATGGTGTATGGTGTTAGTGGGAAGTTTACTCCATCCAAGGACTGTAGTAGTATTCTTTAACCTTACTTTCCACTATACATGCTATATAGATGATGTTCTTTCACTAAATAATTTATAATTTGGTGACTATGCTGAACCCATTTTCTTATCAAACTTGAGATAAAGAATACAACAGATACAGTTAATTCTGCCTCATATCGTGACTTACATCTAGAAATTGACAATGAGGGTAATTTGAAAACAAACCTTTACGACCAAAGAGATGATTTAAGCTTCTCAATTGTGAACTTTCCATCAGAGCCTGCATACGAAGTATATATCTCTTAGTTGATATGATATTCCAGGGCTTTTATTACTTATCATGATTTCCTTGATAGAGGGTTGCTCCTGACAAGGGAGCTATTAAACTAAGAGTTCCAAGTAGTGAAGTTGAAATAATCCCAATTTGGTTGACCATTATCATGATTATGGCATATCCGTAAAAAAATATATAGTTTTTTGTACTGTTGCTTGTCTGTTGGTCGTTTTCTTTTTTTAAGCCATGTCGTTGTCAGTTTATTTTCTTCTATTCAGTTTGAATGTCCCTTTTGTATCTTTCGCCTCTCTTAATGTAATAACATGGTGCGACGAAAACAGAAGTATTCAAAAATGATACTTTCATACCATAATACTCGTCATATTGTTCATTTACATTTTGACTGAAAGTTCACTTATTTTCAAACAGCTAGCTATTGTGTACAAAACCATATCAATACATTAGTATTTAAATTGTGCATATATATCATGAACATGTGACTTCCTTTAAAGCAATTAAAGAAGGTCAGATTTTTTTAAATGTACTTTAATGATTCATAATTTATTAGTTATACGGATTATTAAACCTTGTATAGTCTATTTATTTACACTGGTTTTGGAAAGCCATCAGCCATACAGGGTAGTTCCACATGTCCTTTAACACTGTAATATATGTAGCGAGGCGGCTGCGTGTGGATTCTTGGAGGGCATTCAATTTCTGCAATTATAACAAAGCGTGATAATGACGGGTACATGCCGTATTAATAATTGTATCTTAATAACTGACGTGCTTTTGTTTTTGTAGTTTTTAGGGACCCACAGCAGTGGCGAATAAAACATAAAATATTAGAAAACCATGTTTGACTTATATTCAGATACCTTTAAATACCTGCACTTTTGCCTGATTGGAATTACTTACAGGCTTTTCTCGACGTTAATTCTTTCTTCAGCTTAAACTATATCTAGCACCACTAAATATTTACAGGATTTACTACCTTTAGAGACAAATTGAGTTCTTTTCTGATTTTTGCATGAGTTTCTTTATATTTACATTGTTTGTCATGGTTCTTTTCATAGAATATTTTTCTCTCAGCAACTTTATTTATTTACGATTTTTATATTTAAAGCCACGTGAAGGTGTTGAAATATTTTTAATGAAAATAGTTGGTTGATTATAAGATAATTTTTACTCTTGTTTCATTATTTCTTTTTAAAGGCGTGTTTGGATATTTTATATTTCATTCAATATAAACCATTGACTAAACGTGTGAAATTTTACCCTTTCTATCGATAACTTAATTTGTATTATCTTAACACTACTTACATTTAAACTTACTTAAGGATATATTGCCTGTTAAAGTATAGTTTGATTGGCAACTCTCATTAAACCTATTACACGACAAAAATCATTAGATTATTACTATTATTGTACATATTATTGCACAAAATATCTGATCTTTATGAAAGTTTTAAGGACGTCACAACGAATTATTTGACTGTTATGGAATATCTGTGTCACACATGACCCCGTATATAGATATTACATGTTTAAGAAGATGTGGTATGAGTACTAATGAGACAACTCTCCATCCAAGTCACAATTTGTAAAAGTAAACCATTATAGGTCAAAGTACGGCCTTCAACACGGAGCTTTGGCTCACACCGAACAGCAAGCTTTAAAGGGCCCCAAAAAATGACTAGACTAAGCGTAAAACCATTCAAACAGGAAAACTAACAAAAACAAGTGAACATACACCGTATATGTTCTAATTGTAACCAAAATCCCATATTCCTTTCCTTGGTTTCGACATTACCTTATGGGATTTATTAACGGATTTTTACTTGCGTGAGGTACACGAAGAATGAAGAATGTCACACCCGGATTTTTGTAAGGTTCATGTTGGTCAGTCTAGTTTTCTGTGTAGTGGTAAACGGACCGTTGGTCTTTTTTTTTTGCTATGTCGTTAACAGTTTGTAAACGTCCGTTTACGGAACGTATTATGGTATACCGTTGTCCGTCCGTTCGTCCATCTTTCTTTCCGTCCGTCCAGCTGTCCGTCCGTCGTCAACATGTCGGTCAATAACTCAAAATCGCTTCGAACAATTTTCATGAAACTTTGGTGAATTGTTTATATCTAATGACCTTAGCTCCCTTTCGATTTTTATAAATTTAAGATTTTACGTGTCAGAGTTATTGTATTTTATCCATTAAAAGGTGGATTTTCCAGTTTTCGGATCATTACTCAAAAATGCTTTAAACAGTTTTCATGAAATTTTGGTGACTGGTTTATATCTATTTGAATAAGCTCCCTTTAGTTTTTTTTAATTTCTCATATGACATTGAGGAGTAATGGAACTTTATTCGTTGAAAAAGTGATGGGCGTATCATGCGCTCATGTCACATTTGGTTGGGTTTTTTTTTCGCGCAATCATAAAATGCTTATCTAACGTTAGGAATTCTAGTTATACCTTAACTTACTTTTTTTATTTAAACTAAGATCTTAATCGAGGAGTAGACTACGTATGAAGTTAGAAATACACATCGATCATGTCTGTTTTTATACAGGATAATGATCTCACTTCATGACGTTGTAACATTTTACTTTAGGCATATTGAATCGCAAACATTAAGTAATTATGGCACCCTCAACGGAGTTGGGGTGACATATTGTTATTCTACGTTTCTTTTTTTCTTATTATTTTTCTTCCACTTTTTTTGTCCAGCTTATATATTGGAATTTATGAACCAATGTTAATGGAACTATACAATAATATTAACCAGCATGTGCAGATTTGCAATCGGGGTATGGAATTTTCAAGATGGACGTCGTTACCATGGAAAAATGTCAAAAATTTCAAAATGCTCCCAACCTAATAACACTTTACAACAATGTTAATTGGCATGTATCGATGCGCTCTTTGACTTTGGAATTTCCAAAATGGCTGCCGTTACCCTGGCAATGGGGGGACGAGGGTGCCATCCGTTATTGCTCGCAATTACAAATCTAGTTGCCTTTGCCTTTTTTAATATATTTGTTTTATATTTCTTTATGTGTGTTATACATTCTTTATATAAATCATGTAAATAGTAAATTGTTTATAATAAGATCGCCATTATCGGATTCTCTAAAGAAATGCGTCGTTTAGATGTCAAGCACATACGTTTACTAGTTGATCTTTCTCTAGTCCATATAAAGCTTTAATGAAATATTTTCGACGAATCTAGAATTATGTCTGACATATGAATCATATTGAATACGCTGTGTCAACTTTGTACTTTTGACATATAAAATGTATGAATTTCTATGCATAGGAGTTCCGTAGAATTTAGTTTTAGTTCAACATGATATGTAACAAATGTCAAATTGATAATGAACACTAAATAACGATGCTTTCTTTTATAATATGTTATTAAGTTTGTATTTCCTGGTCGTATCTATGGTATCTATTGAAGTATTAGTTCTTAATTGTTACTATATTTATACAATATCATACAAGTACTTGGTGAAACTGTGATGACAACTGTTTGTTTAGAGTGTATCAGTTTTAAGTGTATATGATCTGTTAACATGATATTACTTAGATTATTCGTTGGAAAATAAAAATGATAACTTCAAAAATTCTTCTAATAAGATCGTGTTTAATTTGAAACAAAAGAGTAAATGATAGGATGTGTATGTGTCTCAAAAACAAAAATAACACTTTACAAATGACGTTCGTCCAACGCGCTTTTCTGAATTAAACTTCACCTGGAACGCTCAAACCTAAACAATTGAAAACCTTGGCTGTATAAATACATTAAATGATCATGTTTTTGTGATCTTAAGATACCATAATAGTAATGATAAATGAACTTGAGACTGGAATTCAATTGGAAGTGATGCATATTCAACAAGACACGTTTACACTGTCGACGCACCCGGGTTCAGTAACTTTGTTGTCATGAGATTTTCTCTGTGTCACATATTGGAATATTAAAAATGTATTTTGAAGATTTGGACATGGATTTTTATTAATTATCTTTTTTCACTAAATCTATTTTTGATTTACTGACTTGTGTTTTTTTTAATATCTTGTTGTGAGTAGTAATGTACATTTCAACACCAATTGCAACTTCTAGACAATTGGGTCAATATCCCTAATGGACCTTGAGATGAGGAACACAGATTTATGACTCTCATTAAAAAATTAGTCCGCCATACAATCGTGGAAGCTGTGATTTTAAAAATTGACATAAATGAACTAGGACTGGTGTTTTATAGAGCTGATGTGATGTGAAAAAAAGTATAAAAAAATAAACCTGAACAAATAATTACAAAGGACATATTTTTTAATGATTTTTATGGTCAGAATTTAGGGATTATTTCCTGAGGAGAGTGACATTTTTCACTATCGTTCGGGGTTGGGCACTTGACGGGAAAACGAATCACACTTGCCACCCCGAAAATCGCACCACACATGTGCAAGTGTCTCAGCTTCAAAATGAGCCATCATACATATCCAAGTTTACGATATGGCCTGAGCAACAGAAGAAAACGTTAACATTACCGCCTATGGAGAATCTATTACGCATATTGCCCCAAATTGTGGCCTTGAATTTCAAAGGTGATGGAGTGTTTCATGGCTCAGTGACCACAATTTAGGATGATAGCTGCTGAAATCAAGGTCAGTTACACTTTTTTAGTGCTAATTAATCAAAACAATACAAAATGGCTTCCCAAACTTTTGATTTTTATCAAAAATATACTAATTTTTTGTTGTTAAATAGCATTGATGCAGAAAATGGGTCATGTAAAATCTGGACAGGGGCCATTCAGAGGAAGAGAAATTATATTTAAGGGATGCTAAATGTGGCTTATCCAAATGGAAAAAGGACAAAAATGAATGTTGCACGCTTGGCAAAAATGTTACAGTTAAAAACAATTGACATTGATAGAAATTTAGATGCCTCGCACCTCTGCCATAATGCCTTGTGTGTTAATGCTGACCATATAATTTTTGAGCCCCATGATTTAAATAACCACCGTAAGGTCTGTGTAACTTCACAAAAATGCACCACTCATGAACTGCATGGCACAACATATCCTAACTGCATGTTGCATCTTAAACTGTGGTTTGTTCTATTTTTAATTCTAAAATTTAAGTCTCCGAGGTGACATATTGCACACTTCACTATGCATGAATCATTTACTCAAATACAAGTTTCTTACACTGCTAAAAAAATGAAAATGGGATAAAAGCCCTCCCTCTCACCCTCCAAGACACTGAAACAAACATGCATGTTTATATTAACCTGAGGTAACACATTTTACGGCTTGTTTCACGAGTGTTTACCTTTTATTGACATAGGAGGGGGAGTAACTCTTGTTGTTTACAAATGTATTTTTAACTGTGTCAGGAAATTGGGACATTCAAACCACATGAACCAACTAAAGTAAGCATGCTTTAAAAGAAATCTTCAATATAAAAACCAAACAAATCAAACAAAAACTACAAAATTATAAAATTAGGATATCAAAAGTAAAATAAAAAGCTAACAGAAGTTACAGAACTGAAATAGTTGCAAATGGAAGTAAATATGGACATGATTTTATTTTATTTTATTTCCTTGTATATTGTATCAATGAATGTGTGCATGATAGGAAAAATAAATTTTTATGCAATACATGTGTGTTAATTTGCATGTATGATGCTGTGTGTGGTATGTTTCAATGTCAATACACTCTGTAAGATGTGTACAACTCTAAATTATGATGTCATAATGCAATGACGTCACAAAAACAATGACGACACAATGTACTCTTCACCAAAGAAATAACCCATTATCCCGCTTTCAACACACATACAAAAAAACCCTCTAAAATTCTTATTCCTTGATGGATTTTGAAAGCAAGACTAGTTTTGGAAAGGTCTGTGACTAATCTTTACAGTAATGAACATATATTAGAGATATTTATTCAATAAACAAAAAATATAATAGAAAACAAGACTATCAGGGTGGACAAATTTCTTAAATCTGATAGTTTTTAAGTGAAAAACACTATATTTACATGATTTATCAACAAAAAATTGGGATTTGTAGAAAGTCTGTAAGGTAGAAGAGGCTTATGAATTGAGTTATACCAATAAAAGTTAAAACAAATGTTTAAAATGTAAATTTATAACATATGCTTATTGTGTTTTTTTCTTCCTTAAAAAGGATATTGAACAGTTATAAACATTGCTACCTAAAAGTATTAAAATAAGCTTATTTTATTTCAGATATGGCTAAAACTTCACAGAATTGTTCAGAAATGTGTACTAAAGGGATACAAACTGCAATATAAGTGGAATCTGACATAAGCTGATCTAATATGGGTCAATATCCCTAATGGACCTTGAGATGAGGAACACAGATTTATGACTCTCATTAAAAAATTAGTCCGCCATACAATCGTGGAAGCTGTGATTTTAAAAATTGACATAAATGAACTAGGACTGGTGTTTTATAGAGCTGATGTGATGTGAAAAAAAGTATAAAAAAATAAACCTGAACAAATAATTACAAAGGACATATTTTTTAATGATTTTTATGGTCAGAATTTAGGGATTATTTCCTGAGGAGAGTGACATTTTTCACTATCGTTCGGGGTTGGGCACTTGACGGGAAAACGAATCACACTTGCCACCCCGAAAATCGCACCACACATGTGCAAGTGTCTCAGCTTCAAAATGAGCCATCATACATATCCAAGTTTACGATATGGCCTGAGCAACAGAAGAAAACGTTAACATTACCGCCTATGGAGAATCTATTACGCATATTGCCCCAATTACTTTCAAAGTAGAGACAATCCTATGTATATACACAAACACATAATATTAGAAATCATATAGTGGTTTATTTACTTTATATCAAGGTTATTTTGCACCTTTTTCTCAAACAATAGTATAAATCTAAAAACTTATCTTCAAATTACCTTTCACTAAAAAGTGTGAATAACTATATTAAGTTACTGACATGTACTTTGAATTTTCTGAACAGTTCTGATCAATCGAATTCATACTGGCAAATGTATGGTACATGCACACATGATATAGCAAATTCCAAAACATAGTGTCCAAATAGCCTGTTGAAACTGTTATCATCGCTGCATAACTGGCTATATGTAAACCTGTATATTGATACATATATATTAATTTCCGCATATTGATTTCCTGTTAGAGTACACAGTTTCACTGGTGTTTTGATTGGAAATATTCATTCAACAATAACAAAATCCATCAATAAAATTAAAATCAAATTGAAAATAATGTATGTCTAGTCATTATTAAGACTATAATATTGTACGAGAAAAAATAGTTAGTATAGTTCTCACGTTTTTTTGTTTTTTTGTTTTTTTTATTCATTTTCACCTACCTGGTTTTTCAATTTCAGGTTTTGGTGTTTCTGATGAAGACAAATTCATAAAAAAGTGATCAAATGGATCGTGCTGTGTGGAGGCCGTAGAAAGTTTCCTCGTACTTGATATGTATATTCTTCTGTATTTTTAAAGTTATGGTGTATCTATTCTTGAGATAACTTCTCTTATGTGTGCCACATCATTTCTCAATTTTAGGACAGTTTCTTTACTAAAATTTTAATAAGACCCACACCACCTATTCTTGTGCTCTGGTTACCGGAGTTTTTGGATACACCAAACCAGGCACTTCATATCTGGGAAACAGGCTATATATGCCCTCAATTTTAGTTTTCATTCATACATTTTTGTATTATTAAAGATTATTAATAAATAGTGTGTTCTACAAGGATCACCAGTCCTTCACCTTTCATCTGATACCTTGATTACTAAAATATATGCTACATAGTTAAAGATTTACAACTGTGCGTAGGAACTATTTTGTTTTAAATATGTACTACTTTCCAGTATGTTCTTTTTCGACCGGGCCCGATTGGGTGGTGTTACATCTTACAACGTCTATCCAAATTATTTTTGCAAAGAATTCCGCTTAAGTCGGTGCTAGGGGCCGTCTTAAACTTGCAGTGAGGAGAGAGTCTTTTTGCTCCGTGTTGAGGTCTCACTGTGACTTTGAGATGAAGATCAGCAATAAAAGCGCAGTTCCTTGCTTTTTGTATGATTTTGTTGTTGTGCATTTACTGATTTTGTGTCATGGACGGATAGCCCATATCCTTTGTTTTTCTATCAAATGTGTAACTGTATTGATTTAATGTTGACCACACGTTCATTATCCTTTTTGAAATAACTTATATTTATACCTTTACGATAGAAAGGTATTTATCTTCAAGGTCGTAATCAAATATTGTAACAAAGAAAATCAGAATGCTTGCCAGCAAGACAGCTATCCATTAGACTCCAAAAAGACATAGTTATAAGCTCGGATTTAATACTGTAAATTCAGAAATTATTACGTGCATTTATTATTGCGATTTTGTTATTTTAGACTAAAATGCGATTTTTATTTTTGCGATATTGAGAAAAATCCTGTTTTATTCATATAAAAAATTTTAAAATGCGAGTATAAATTATTGCGATTATTACCCTGTCGCATTTTTCGCAATAATAAAAACATCGCAATAATTTCTGAATTTACAGTAGTTTGCATATTAGGTACCAGAGAGTTTGTCTACCGTTATCATAGGACGATTTGTCGATTGCTTGTGATTACCTTTCTGTCACTGAGGGTAAATCGTTTTGTTATTTACATGAGATAAATTATAATTTATGTCAGTAAGTTTCTACTTCATTGAAGTTGTATAAGATGAATGTTTCAACTGCCTCTGGCAAAGAAGACGTCAGAGAGTTGTGCTGATTAGGCTCGTTTGTTTTTATGCCCATAGAGGTGTTAAATGTTTTCTTTCTATACGAAAAGGAACACACCGAGTGGATTAGCTTATAACAGTCAATTGCTTATTGTTATAATAATTTTTCGTTCGAAGATATTAAAAACAATCAGTCATTAAACATGCTTATGTATATCCTTCAGTATAAATTGAAGTCTACTACACTTGGGTTTCAACATTCTTTAATGGTAACCGGGGACAAAATGTCTAGAGAAAACTGCGGAATAAGACCATAAAAACCGTATAGAAACGCATCGGCTTCAATCCCCATGTACAATACAGGTATATATATATATATATACATTCATAATTTTTATGATGCTGTTAGAGCAGCGATACCACCAACCTATTCAAGGTTATTCAGCCTGAGCATGTAATCGATTGAGATAGTTAGTACTTAAAGGGACATTGACTACGAGATATACAAAAAAAATTTAATATGATTTTTTTTTAATGATTAACATGATTAATGAAAAGAATTAATGAAGTGATATTTCGCTTTTAGCAGCCAGTATGGTTCAATTTTGTCAAAATAAGAATCATTGCTAAAGAATTATTATCTTGCAAGTAAATAATTCAACCTCATTGAATCCGTATCCATGTGACCTTCAATTTAATCCCTTAGCTGGAGATTGGTTACAAATGTATTCAGCGATTAAAAGGAAAAGAATGTCAGCATTGAAAGTGAAACAAGGATTAACCATTTGGTTGACTGATTCGATCCACAAATATAGATTCTTACACAGGTAAAAACGATGATAAACGATACTTTTAGCCTACACTATGAAATCAAACAGACCTAGAAAAATCCAATTGCACGTGGCGCTATCTATTTATATTTATATTATTGGTAATATCGGTCTGTATGAGCATCGGCAATCTTCGGAGGTCATCCTGGTGGTTAATTAGATGATGTCTAGACAAAAATGCATACAAAATGTTAATACATATTATCAAGTTCATGCATTATTAATTGTTTATTTTAGACTTTTTGTAATTTGGATATAAGTTTTAGTATGTTGTAAATCAAACATGAGAATTTTAGTCAAATGGGTGAACATGAACTTGACAGCTAATGCCCCTTTAATACATTTCACTTGATTATTTATGACAACAATACATATTTTATATTTAAAGAAAAAGTATTCAGTATGCGACTTCCAATATGTGGTGCATGATGTAATACTTTTAAAATGCGATAAAAATTTGTTAATTGTCATTATTAGCCTACTGTTCACTGTAGATATAACATTGAAAATAGAAACGGGGAATTGGTCAAAGAGACAACAACCCGACCAAAGAGCAGAAAACAGCCAAATGCCACCAATAAGGCTTCATCACATCGAGAAAATTCCGCACCCGGAGGCTGGCCCCTAAACAATAATGTATATTAGTTCAGCGATAATGGACGCAACGCTAAATTCCAAAACATTTTATAAATGAACATAAATAAAAAAAAAATACAAGACCAACAAAGGCCAAAGTTTCCAGACTTGGGAAAAAGGCAGCAATGAGGCGAGGTTGAAACATGTTTTGTGAGATTTCAATTATCCACTAAACATTTAGCCAATGTGGAATAAACAAACACACAGCAAAACGCACAGTATGACTCAGTGTTATTCAGAGCAGCAATATTACCAACCTATTCAAGGTTATTTAGCCTGAATATATAATCTATTGAGTAATCTGGTACTTAGTGTTAAAGTCTGTAATAGATGCTAAATTCAAGTACATATACGTTATATTTTACTGGGTAGAAATAAGATGCAAGATAATAGATCATGTCGACTATTGTAAGTCTCCAGGTTTTTAAAATGACCTGTCATCGATAATTATGACGTTTCGTGCAATATAATATTAGGTAGTCAGATCAACTTAATTTGACGCACCTTAGGGTCTTAAAGCATATCTACCATGTTCAGGTGTATGGGGTTAATTTTTCACCTGACCCTTAACATGTATACTTATACTAATAGGATAAGTAATGTTATGACTCAGTGATGTTTCATATTTTCTTCTCAATCACAAAACTTTTTTTATGTTTGCTTATCTAATTATTCGCCTGTTAAACAGATAGTTTTGCGGTTTTGCCATATTTACTATATTTGATGTGCGGTTTAGATCACCGAGATATATGAGAATATGTTCTTATGTTGAAAAAAGCATATCAATGCAGAATTCAACAGCCTGTTAAATTTAGATAATCAAAACGGTAAGATAAGATTAAGAGATCTGTTCAAAAAACATCCCCATGAAATTTTAATAAATGTTCTCCCTATGATATTGGATTTGACATAATTATCTTAATCCAGCGTGGGTATTTTTTTTTATAATTATCTCTTTGGATCACAGCTACAGTTTTCATGTATATGTTTATCGCAGACCATTTTAATTTGAGATTAATGAAACAGTAGCATTATTCCGTTCTCAGTTTGTCCAACATTATATTGTTATATGGGTCGCACACTTTGTGTATATCTATATTGTTATGCCGACCACTCTTTAGATAGATGCACGCCTAAAGTGCAGGGTAATCGCACAGATATATTGCAGCATGGGATATATTTTATCGTTTTGGAAATGCACATAATGAAATGTTTTTTTTTTTTATCTCAATTTACTACAATAATGACTGTCAAAATTTCGCCGAGTTTTGTATTAGCATTTTTAGAAGAAACCTTCCAGAAATACCGTGTACTATAGTATACT